AAAACAAATCATAGCAGCTGGGATTGCTCAGTCATATTTCAGTTGCTCTTGTGGTGCATACCCAGCCTGTGTGGTTAATTGACAGTTTCCCAAAATACTGTATTGTAATACTAATTTACAATTTCACAAAATACTGTGAAAATCCAAAAAAATGGATTGAGTTAATCACCGTTCAGTTAACTACAGTGTTTCTCAACCTTGGCAACCTTAAGATATGTGGGCTTCAACTCCCAGGATTCCCCAGCTAGCATGGCCGGCTAGGGAATTCTGGGAGTTGAGGTCCACATATCTTAAAGTTGCTAAGGTTGAGAAACACTGAACTACAGTATGCACAGGTAGGCTTATCATGGAAAAGTAGGTAGGTAAATTATTCCTTAGTAGTTACAGATCAGATAGCCTTATCTTCCACAAATTTCTTCATAAAATCATCCCTATTTATGGCTATTATTTTGCAATTTAATTAGGTGCTACAGGAAGAACTCACAGATGATGTTGGTCTGGCCATTCTATTTCAGCCCATCCTACCTCACAGGGTTGTTGCTATGGGGGAAAATAGGGGTACTATGTACACTGCATTGAGCTTTAATTGACAATTAATTTTTCACAGGCATAATTGTTATATGTCTAAATAGCAAAAGACCTCAAATGCTGTAACCTTCTCTTGCAGAATCATCCTCCAGCAGTCTCTTTGATTCGTTTATCTCTTTTTCAATTATACCACAGATTAATCTAGGATCGTGACTGCCTTTCTTAAGAGGTTAGCTGGGACTACAACTCCCAGGATTCCTAGCCAGGGGAGATTCTGGCTGGGAATTGCAGGCCTAAAATAGGAGGATATGAGAGAGTTGAACACCTTATTAGGCATCAAGAGTGTTTGCTTCTGATGCTTTTCCAACTACAGTATGCCAAACTGGGACATGACTATGCAATTTGGGCTTTCTTTATACCAGCTTGGAGCAAAATTAGCTCTGATTTTATACTTGGGAGTAAGTCTCATCGAACATGGGCTGGATCCGCCCCAATCCTATCAGCTTTATTAAGGAAAGAGAAAGTCTCCAAGTTAAGCATACCACCAGTGCCGTCATGGACTTTCCTGGGCAACATCAGGGAAGCAGCGCTTCGCCCGAATGCTGTTTTGACTTCCCCTTTTAGCCTCTGCCCCAGGGAATTCCAGGTGGTCTCCTATTCGGGAATAACCAAATCTGACCCTGCTTAGATCAGCCAAGGTCAGTTTAGGCTGCGACTCCTACCTGGGAATAACTTCCCTCAAATGGAGGTACTATCAGGCTCCTGATATCGTGATTTCTGTAAAACAGGGATCGGAGTGGTCTACCTTACAGGGCCGTTGTAGCTAAACCACCACCTTACTTCGGAGAGCCACCCGCATCGCCACGCACCCGATCTGAAGGTCACCTTCACTGTCAGCCGGCAATTGGCTCGCAACCGGCGTGCGTTTCACACGTGCAAAGAGCGGTCCGGGTAAGAGCGCTTCGCTCTCCCCAGGGGAAGGGGGCGGGGGAGAGGCAGCAACCCTCGACCAGGTCAGCCCCAGAGCAGCCTTCCTCAGTGGGGGCCCTCGAGCCCGCCGCGGGGGCCCCCGC